AGCCCTCCCATTGCCTCCATGCCCCCCTCCCCATGCCCGCCACCCTCCATGCCATCAACTCTCCCTATGCCAACCCTGCTCCCCCTCCGATGCCTTCACTGCCCCACGCTCCCTCCACTGCCTCTCTGGGCCTCCTAACTCACCTCCTGACCCATCTGTGAGTCCCCCACCCACCTGCCCCCTGCTCCACTCACCTGGGCACCCCTAAAAGTCTGGCAACTGCTCACAAACACATAGCGGTAGGTGCGGCCCCCAGTGCCTGGCACGACCATCCGGACGATCTCACTCTCCGTGGGGCAGGGTGGCTCTGGCTCCCCAGACTCCTCCTCACCCTCTTCATCCGGGATCTCCTGCTCCAGAGCACCTGCATCTGGGGGGGTGCACACACCAGTGGACCCTTCCAGCCTCAAATCAGAGCCTAGCCCTCGAACAATCCATGGATGCAGGGGGCTGGGAGGGGCCAGGGGACCCTGGTGTCCGGGCTGCTGAGGTTTGGGGAGTCATTGGAAGATTAGGGGATGCTGGGGTCCGGAATGGAGAGGGTCGGGGGAGATTGTGCGACCAGGGAACCCAGGTGGCCAGCCCAGAGTGGGGCTGTGGGTCGGTGAGAGCACAGATCTGGGGGTACTGGAGCCCTGTCCTGTCCTTGCTGGGGTCTGACCCAACCCAAGCAGGGTGTGCGGGAGGGGAGGTTCCCATTGGGGAGATGGCCTATAGGATAGACCCCCCCCCCGGGGCCCCAGAACTTACCGAGCTGGTGAGCAGAGACGGCCCCTAGCAGGGCAAGTGACAGGACCAGGGACAGCTTCATCTTGGGTGGAGCTGGGGGGTGAAGTGCTGTGAGACACAGATTGACCCCCCCAAATTCCTCCCTCCCCCACCGAGCCCAGACGGACTGCTCCGCTTAGAACCCCACCGCCCGGCACTGCACCTGCCCTGTACCGCAGGCACCAGCAGTATGGGCACCCACTGGCTATGGAGAGAGACTGTCAGGGAGAACAGCATGGGGTGTTAGCCTGTGGAACTCCCTGCTACATGATAAAGAAACCAAGTGCACTGAGCAATACCAGTGCACTTGGTTCTTATATCCTGTGGTGGGGAGTTCCACAGGCATCAAGGCAGCTTCAGGGGCCAAGACTGAGGCTTCACGAGTTCAGCCTGAAGGGCAGGAGCTGAGCAGGCCCTGGGGTCAGGCTGGGATTTTCCCCAGCCACAGAGAGATGAATTATGGGAGTCACCTCCTCAGGGCATCTAGTGCTGGCTCCTGAGAGCCAGGCCCTGCTGAGTGACCATCCTGCCCTGGGGCTGGTCCCCGTCTCTTCTCCCCACAGCCCCTGGGGCCACCCAGAGACCCCGCTCACCTCTGTGACAGCCACCAGTCCGGGGAGCTCTGCCTGGTCCAGCCGTGCCAGCCCCTTATACTGGGCTGGAGCAGGAAGCTGGGGATGGGGGAAGAGCCCAGCTCCCACCCCCTTGTGCTCCCCCCTCCCTGCCCCCCACAGCTTGTGACACACACCCTGGGCTATGCCCCCACAGCTGCCTCATGTTGCCCCCTAGTGGCCATCAGGGGAGCTCACAATCAGCTGTTTCCCCCGCCCCCCTGCCCATCCCAGCCCAGCTCTCAGGCAGCAGATTCCCTGCAGATAAGCATCTCCCTTTCGCAAGGGGATTGACACAGTAACGGCCGCACTGGGACCCGATAGCCCGGGGCCGTTACACCGCAGGGCCTGGCCACAGGGAACGGGGCAGCCCCCAGCGGGGCTAGTGCCAGCTCCCCCTGAGTGCCGGGGTCAGGGTCCTCTCCCCTCCCCTGCTGGGTACTCCCTGGGGGGTGCCCCTCTCTACCATGGGCCTGTGCACTGTGGGGCTGGAGTGCGGCCCTGTCCTGCCTGCTGGGACCCATGATTGGGAGCCTGGACACAGCTGAATTTTGGGGCTTCAATTGGCCTCTCTCAGCCCCCACAGCTGGCACTGATGCTCCCTGCAGCTGCCCCCATGAGAATGTGGGGGGCCCTGTCTGCTCCTGCATCATGCTGAGTGCTGGCCCTGCCCAGGGGCTCCCGCCCCCATCCCCACAGAGCAGAGCGCAGCCTCTGCACAGAAACCCCAGCCTGGCCTGGAAGACTCCCAGTGACGGAGCATCTGCCCCGCCCTGGCTAGGTGACCCCAGGGAAAATCCCTTTCATTGCACCAGCCTGCCCCGAATCTCCCCAGCCTCCTCTGCAGCCCTCTGGGCCAGGCTGTGGCTAAGAGCCCGGAGCCCTCGCGTTTCGCAGGCCCGCTCCCAAGGAATGGGGTCGGCTCCCTGCCCCCGGGGAGAGTGGTTACGCCATTGGGAGACACACGGGGCAGGGGGACTGGGGCAGCTGAGGGGCTGTGGTGTTTTAGATGCTGCTTATAATTATTAGAACTGGGAGCATGGGCTGTTGGGAGTCTGGAAGCACAGGAAACAGGAAGGAGGGGGGAGAAGATTGGCATGGGCTGAGTGAGAGCTACTGAGGGATGCAGCAGCTTTGTAAAGAGGCTCCACTTTTGGTAAATAAAGTCCTGTTGAAGTTTGTTACTACCTTGCTTGCATGATACAACATCTGTGTGGGGGAGCAACGAGGGGCGCCCTGGCATTAGGGCACCCCTGTGACACCCTGCCAAATTGTGGACTGCTAAATGAAATGCTTCCTTATGCCCCCTTTCTGTTCCTCTGGGTAGCCTTCCCTGCACCTCCCTTTCCCCACCCCCCCTCCTTGCAGGTACCAGTTACCTAAGTTTGATGCTTCAGTTTGAGGCTTTCCTTGGCACCTATAAAACAAATAAAAATGGCAGATGATATCACTTTCTACTCTTAATTAGACTGGACTGAATTAGCTGAATATGAATATTCAGTGGGGTTAGAAGCTAGGATACATTCTTCCAGAGTCTTGCTGATTGTACCATCTATTTTATAAGGGCCAGTGGGCAGAAATATCGATACTGTAACCCTTACTACACTTCCCCAGCAGGGCCTCTGCCCCATTGCCGGGTGCCCAGGTCTGGGGGGAGCGTCCCACCCAACACGGCAACGCAGCGGGACCCGCCCCACTGGTAACAGCCACCGACGCTTTACACCAGCTGGGGTTCTGCCCCACCGGCCCCCCACCTCTCCACCCCGCACGGAGCTACGGCCAATTGACACCAGCTGGGAAACTCCCCACACGGGGTCCACCTTGGTCAGTGGGGCAGGCCCCTGCCTGGTGCTGGGCAGCAAGACACTGTGAGTGTCACAGGACTGCGGAGCGCTGCTGTCAATTGCATGGCCCTGCTCGCCCCTCCCCACACACTCGCTCCCCCCCATCCCAGCCCCGTTCTCAGGCTGCAGGTTCCCTGCAGATAAGCATCTCCCTTTCGCAAGGGGATTGACACAGTAACGGCCGCACTGGGACCCCGAGGCCGTTACACCGCAGGGCCTGGCCACAGGGAACGGGGCAGCCCCCAGCGGGGCTAGTGCCAGCTCCCCCTGAGTGCCGGGATCCGCTCCCCTCCCCTGCCGGGTACTCACTGGGGGGTGCCCCTCTGAGCCAGAGACACACCCCCACTACCATGGGCCTGTGCACTGTGGGGCTGGAGTGCGGCCCTGTCCTGCCTGCTGGGACCCATGATTGGGAGCCTGGACACAGCTGAATTTTGGGGCTTCAATTGGCCTCTCTCAGCCCCCACAGCTGGCACTGATGCTCCCTGCAGCTGCCCCCATGAGAATGTGGGGGGCCCTGTCTGCTCCTGCATCACCCCAGGTGCTGGCCCTGCCTAGAGACCCCCATTCTTGTGCTTAAAAGAAGCACCTGGGACCTTTTCAAGGGGATAAGACAACACGCCCCGTTCATTGAACATACATAGATCAATCAATACTTATCAGATGCAGATGCTACATTACTCTCATGCATGCTCCGTCTTCTTGCAGCCATCTGGGCCAGGCTGTGGCTAAGAGCCCGGAGCCCTCGCGTTTCGCAGGCCCGCTCCCAAGGAATGGGGTCGGCTCCCTGCCCCCGGGGAGAGTGGTTACGCCATTGGGAGACACACGGGGCAGGGGGACTGGGGCAGCTGAGGGGCTGTGGTGTTTTAGATGCTGCTTATAATTATTAGAACTGGGAGCATGGGCTGTTGGGAGTCTGGAAGCACAAGGATACTGAAAGGTGGGGGAGAGAAGATTAGCCAGGCCTGAGTGAGAGCTACTGAGGAATGCAGCAGCTTTGTAAAGCGGTTTCACTTTTCGTAAATAAAGTCCTGTTGAAGTTTGTTTGCACCTTGCTTGCATGATACAACATGTTGGCGACGAGGATGGATCTTCTGCCTCTGAACCCACCTGCACCCTTTCTGCAAAGCCCAGGTGAGCCTCCAATTGCTTTTACTGCCTGGATCCATATGTTTGAGACTTACCTGCTTGCCATCAGTGCTACAGAGATTTCCGAAGTAAGAAAACGTGCTCTGTTAATCCACTGCCTTGGAGCAGAAGGGCAGCGCGTATTTTACACTTTTCCCCTTGCAGATGATAAATATGAGACTGCACTCACTGCCTTAAAGAACTTTTTTGTGCCAAAAGTGAATGTGGTAGCTACTCGCTACAGATTTCGCCAGTGTGAGCAGAAACCAGGGGAGACTATAACACAGTCTATTGTTTCTCTGAGGAATCTGATTATAACTTGTGACTTTGGGAATATGGCAGATGAGATGATTAGAGACCAGCTCATCGAGAGAACGACCGAGGTTCGTGAAAGAGAACGCTTGCTTCTAGAACCACAACTTACACTGGAAAAAGCAATAACCATTGCTACCCAGACTGAGTCAGCGATAGCAGAAACCAAAATAATGAGCATGGATATAGGAGGCCTAATCCTAGCTGTGAGTCCTTTGGAGAAAAGTCCACTATCACTGCAGACAAATAATTATAAGGAGAAAACGAATGAAAAACCACAGCAAAAGCATGCTTTCCACAACACCTTGCAAGCTACACAAGATGTCCTGCAAAAGTAGCTCAGTGCCATCACTGCAAAAAGATTGGGCATTTTGCTAAGATATGCCGCTGTAGCCAGTCCAATCAACAGGTGCATGCAGTTACAATACTAGATGTTACTGTGCTGAGTGTGGACAAAATCACTACTGCACATATTCCAGAACAGATATATGGCCACGTCTACACTGGCATGATCTTGCACAAGAACTCTTTTGCGGAAGAGTTCTTGTGCAAAAACTCTTCCAGAAGAGAGCGTCTACACTGGGATGTGCTTTTGCGCAAGAGCCTCCGTGCCAGTGTCGACGCTCTCTTGCACAAGAAAGCTCTGATGGCCATTTTAACCGTCGGGCTTTCTTGCGCAAGAAATTCATGTTGCCTGTCTACACTGGTCTCTTGTGCAAGAACAGTTGCACAAGAGGGCTTATTCCTGAGCGGGAGCATCAGAGTTCTTGCGCAAGAAGCCCTGATTTCACACATTAGAACGTCAGTGTCCTTGCCCAAGAACTCGTGGCCAGTGTAGACAGGCAGCAAGTTTTGCACAAAAGTGGCCGCTTTTGCGCAAGATCGCACCAATGTAGACACAGCCTATTAAGGTGCACTATAAATGTTTCCACCACATCTTCAGGCAAATGACATCCTATTCAGCTAATGTTGGACACTGGCTCAGCAGTATCTATACTACCCGATTCCATCTATCTGCATTACTTGGAAGACGTGCCTCCTAGTGAACCCAGACTTCACTTGGTGTGCTGTTTGAAAAACCAAATTCCAGTTCATGGCTGGCTGCCAGCAACAGTGACTTTTGGCGATTGCTGTGTAACTACATTGTCCACGGAGGCTCTCTTATCCTTGGCAGCGATTTCTTGGCTACTTTAAACCTCAGGGTAGTTAATGGACAGATTGATCTTCCTCAGTAAAGCGCTCTTGCAGGACACACACCAGTTTCAGCTGGGACCCTGTCAGGGCTCACAGGTCATGTCCATACTCGGCCCCTCGGTTCCCAGGCAGAACCCTCCTCTCCAGTGAAACAGCCCTTTCTCAGTGAGTCCATTCCAGTGTGGTGACTCTGCCTTGGGGTGCCTACTCTCACCTGGGGGGTCCGCCCCTCCACCTCCAGGATGGTGCCTCTCAAGGCCTTCAGCTGCCTGCCTCCGCCTTGAGCCCCCTTGGGGGGGCTCCACTCTCTCTGGACCCCCGGGGCCTCCACTCCCAGAAGGAATAGCGCCCCCCTGTTCTCTAGACCAGGGCAACTATCAGCCAGCACAAAACAGGAGGTTTTATTGAGCTTTGAACACAGCAACGGGTCTCTCAGGCCGGTAGGCCTGGGCCCTCAGCCCACACGTCAGTCTCCCCTGCAGCCAGCTGAGCTCTGCCCTCAGTCCCCCCCAAAACAGCCCCAGTCTCCCAGCAGAGGCTCCAATATCCCCAGCAGCAGCCCCTCCCCCGGCCATTGTCTTCTCCGCAGGTAAGAGGGTCGCCTGGCCCCTCTCTTCTCCGCCTCC